TTAATGGGTGATAAACAGAGGAAGCTTTACATACAAACTAAACAGCATGACTGCTGAACATAAATGATTTTGTTTCCTCTGCAAGTCCAGACATTTTTAATAAGTCTTTTCTGACATCTTTTTCAGCGACAGCAACCCTTCTTGCTAGCAAAGGGACACAAGAGTGGGAGTTATGACACTGTACAGAGTTTTCTGTTAGAGATCATTGTTTGGTGAATGCTGAGCTTCCATTTGCTGTGGCTGGGGATAACACCTTGCAAGGGAGACAATTCCAAGGGAGGATGGGGTCAAATGCTGAACGTTTGCTTGAATTAAGATCTGCATTTTCAAACCCAGCTGGAATGTGTGTGATTAGGAGAAAGCCTTCTGTTTCAGTGCAGTAAAAACACAGTCCTTTTGACATGATGAGTTTTGCTGCTTGTTGTCTTCAAACTCAAAGCTTTGTGGTTTTGGGATCTGTGGATTGAATTAGGTACTTCTCCCTGAATCTGGGGTCTTCATAAAAACTCAGTCATCTTTGGCACGTAAAGCATTGCAGTTTATTTACAGTAAGAGCGGAATAGTTTGCCCATAATTTATTGTAGTTTCCTGTCATTAACTTGATAATATTCCTATCATTAACTTGATAAAATAAATTCCTTGTCATTAACTTGATAAAAGGAACTTAGTGATAAAAATTCATTTGTGTCCTATCGCTGTATGGGCTGTCCCAGGAAAAGATCCAGCAGCTTTGTCTCTCCTGCCTCTTACTGAGCTTTAAGATGACAAAAGACACTGACCCCTGATGGTGCTGCTCCTTAGCTGTGTCTCTTAGAGAACTTCAATCAAAAATACATTTACTTCTCTGGAGGTGTGAACAAGGAGAGGGTTTTGCTGGGAACGTAGGGTTATGTTTTATTGTTTATGTTCTAGTATGATGAATATGTTGTGTTGTATTAATGTGTGGTGCCTCATTGTAGATGTTGGAGTTTTAATGAATTTACGTGGAAGGTTTTGCTGGCATTTTTTCTTTTGAGCTCACTCTGTGTCTCCATACATGTATGCACACACACAGAGGTTAAATTAACATTTGATTAGAGATCACACTTTTCTTAGTTACTACTTGCAGCCTTATTATATAATATTGGTATGTGCTGAAATGTTATTGATATCTGAGGAAGTAAAAGAGAATTCCCCTTCAAATCCCCAAGTGAAATCAGTGAGTGCTCGTGCTCCTGACCACCAGGCTCAGCTATTTCCTGCCTGTGGCAGTAACGGATCTGCAGAAGTCCCCAGGGCAGAAGTGAAGCCAAGAGCCTGCTCCACCTGTGATGAGCCCTGCCCCTGAACTAAGAGAGAGTATCTGTCTAAAAGAGCAGGAAGTTTGTAATGGAATATAAATCCCTGCACTTTTTCACCAAAGTCACAGTTTAATTGGGGCTGTATGAAGGGAGAGTAAGAGAGACAAACTGAGGGGTGACAACGTCAAGGCATGAGATCAAGCCCAAAGGCCAGGCACTCCTAAGCTGCGTTTCTGGGAGTGCCATGTTTCACCCAAGCTCTCCCTACATCCCTTCAGCACCATGCCTAGGATCTCATCCAGGCTTTTGTCAAGGCAGCTGCAAATCCATTATGGCATTCTGGCAGCTCCTTCCCCTGCCAGCCATCAGAGATGACTTGTGCAAATGGAATTGCTGCTCCTTTGGAAGGACCGCGTCACCGAGTGAGCTGATACTGCCGCGAGCAGAGACCTTCCATGCTAAACCCTGTAAAAACCACGCTGGCAGTGAACAAAACAACGCTTACACAACAGTCTGACTACTGAAATGCTGCTGAAAAGGAAGCAAATACCTCCCGTGCCTATGTTCTAGGGCAGGATATAGCTTGTGTTCCCCACGTTGCAGGATGGAAACTAGTGGTTTGTCATGACTCATCAGCTTGTCTAATGAGCACAAAAGTCAAAAGGGCATCTTTTAGGATCTTCACTGGGACCCGTTAATCTTTGCATGTAGCAAAGGATGCCCCTGCACAGGGGACTCCCTAAGGGGGTTCAGGTCTACTGAGGCTGAGCTTCAGTCTATTACTGGTTTGAGTTTCTCCAGGTCCAGAGGAATGCTCCAGCTCCTGGGCTGATAAATTTTCCCTGAGAAAATTAAGAATCTGTCTTGTTTTAGGCAAATTCCATCCTCTCCCTTGAGAAGTTGTGCACACAAGACTCAGGAGGCCAAGCTTTTGCTGTAATGAGGGTTCAGCCAGTCTGCCAACTCCTGCCTCCTGTGTGTCCTCTGTTCCACCTACTCTTGTACCCAGGGAAAATCTCACTCTGGTTCCTGAAACCACCTCCTTTTCCCCAAAAGGGCCTTGGCATTCCGCTGCCATTCCACTTGAGCTGCAGAGGGCTGAAGGGACAAATACAAGAGCTGTGAAATAATCGCTTCCGCTGCTCAGAAGTTGTGCCCAGTGTTGTGCAAACACTTGTGGAAGTCTGCAATGAGGCAAAATATCTGCTAGATATCAGAATTGCTATAGGAGGAAGTGATAGCAAGGAGAGGAGAAAGGCTTAGGTCAGCTTGTGGGGTTTTTCAAACTTCAGTGTTTAAATATAGATGGTTATGTAGCCTTAGTCAGACCACAGTACGTGCTGGACTTTCCTGAATCCCTCTGGAATCACAAAGTAGCAGTACAGCTTTTAGGTTGATTTGCCTTTTAATATATGTATTTATAAAAACAGTATTACATTACTGCATATTCATTTTTGATGTGCATTTCGGCTCTGCTTGAAAAGACTCAATTCTGTATTGTAGCTTCCACTTAAAAATTGTTGTGGATTACATGAAATGTCTAATTTGCTCCAACTCCACATGAAAATGCATTGAAAATATTAATATAAGGTATAAAGTAATACAAGAAAAGGATGCACTAGCATCACCTGTAGTGTTAACATAAAATACTAGAAAATATTAACAAATATACATACTACAAATAAAATTTTTCTACGTGGTATGAACAGAAGAGATACTAAGTCCACCTAGAGAGTTGCTGGGCTCTACCTGCCCTATAAGGTTGCTTTTATTGCTTAACCTGCATTTGCCTCCCATCAGCTCAGCCAGAGGCATTTTCTGACTGTGCAGGTCATGAAGTGGCAGGAGGAAACACATGGTGAGTTTGAAGAAGTTTGTGCCAGGAACTTTTGATTAAATTAGAAGTGCTCAGTGGCCATAAGACACATCACACCTTCATCTCTAACTCTCATAATGAGATCAGTTTGGTGTAACAGCTGTAATATGTAAATTTGATGATCCAGTGGATCTCCAGCCAAAGGACAGGTGAAGCCTTGCTTTACCAAAACCTGGTGGTGGGGCAGCAGGAAGGGACAGCCAATGTGTTCAGTCAGCTCATGGATTCACATCTGGGTCCAGAGCTGCTTCGGGGAAGGTGCTGCTGGGGTTCAAATTTCAAACCCCACCGCTCCCCCTGGGGCTCACAAGACTGAACCCCACAGGGCGCTCATGGCATTTTTGAGTCCTCCATCACTCTCACCATCTGTGTCTGGTCTGATGAGTGCTGCTAGAATGTGCACTTCAGCACTTTCTGCTTCAGAAATCAGATTTATATGGCTAGCCATAAACAGCAAATCACTAAGACAAAACATCTTTTTGACTGTAGAAAGAAATTAACAATAAGTCAATAGGAATTGACACATCAACACTAACGTTTAACCATATATGCATTCCCCTGGACCCTGGAAAAACAACACAGAATAAATATGTAAGCTGCAAAATCCTTTTATATCTATATATAAAAAATGTGGTCTATTAGGGTGTCAGATAGAACATGGTGCTCATAATGCCAGGGTCACAGGTCCAATCCCCATATTGGCCTTTTGCTAAGAGGTGGACTTGATGATCTTGCTGGGTCCCCTCCAACTCAGAGTAATGTGTGAACTAACATGAGAGAAAAAAAAAAAATGACCTAATATTTTCTGATATATTGAAGTAAATAATATGTTCTTTCCTTTGGAAATATGACTTCTAAACTTCTCTTGGTGTATATGTGCACCCGTGTCTCTCTGCCGGCGTCTTCCTGTCTGTGAGTGCAGAAACTGCAGCACAACAAACAGAAGTAACAAGGGTGATGTAGTCTCTCTATTTTTAGCTGCTCCCTTCTGAAAGATGTGAGCTCCCAGTCTTTACCCCGAGGCTTACTGTGACTTGGAACTGTTAATGAGACAGGAGGTATTTTAGGTGTCAGCCCGTGCTTGCTTGCACCTCCCTTACACCCAGTCAAATCCCATTTAGTCACATATAACCACTCTTCCTTCCTGATCTGGTATTCCTATCACATACCCAGCACCACCCCGAGATCTCTCTCCTGTGTGCTGATGGTCAGCCTAGAATGTTTTACTTCTGTAGGAGCCTTGTAACTTTTTTCCTGTGTCAATCACTTTGGCTACTTCCCACAGGGAATTTCACCTGCTGGTTTGTTGCCTGGTCAGTGACTCTCCCAAGGTCCTTCTGCAGCTCTTTATAGATGAGCCTTGTTTTCACATCATCATTTAGCATCACCAGAGCACCTCAGCTCATGGAAAATGACCTTCCCGGATCCCCTGTGGGACAGACAAACCTAGCAGGACCCCACAGAAGGTGGTTGTAAGAATCCGTGGGTGATGTCCCTTTATCAATGAGAATTGATCTTTTCATTCTGCCCTTCATCTCTGGGCACTCACCTGTTACTTGTGCCTTTCCAAGACATGCTTCTTGGCCTCATTATTTCCAATGTTTAGTGAGGGCTGTGAAAAGATTTCAGAAAGGCTGTTTGACTCTACCTGTGAGACCTGCCACATCCATCCATCCTGCCTTGTTTTCACCTTCAAACAACTGCAACAATTCATGAGAGATGGCTTCCTTAAAACCACACAGATGCTTCTTTATTATGTGTTTTTTCATGTGCTTGCTTATTGTATCCGATCTGTTTCTGTTTGAGTAAGGCCATTTAGGGGTAACTAACTTCATCTTGTTTATTCTCATCCTTACAACACTTAAACACTTTCATTAACATTGAACTCCTTGATCTACCACAGACAGAAGTTTAGACAGAGTGACAGCAAAGAAAATGACATGAATCAGCAACCATCTCAGGGAAAGAAAAATAATCAGCTGTAGTGATGTAGCAGAGGGGCCATTCTCATCAGAAATCATGGTGTTCTCAGCAGCAATGTTTTCTCTCATTTCATGACCTTGCAGAAATCCAAAGTTTATTCTTCCTTGACTTTTCTTTAACTGGTGACTCAACAGTGTCCCTGGCCCTGTAATTCGATTAAGTGCAAAGTGAATTCAGAAATTAAAGAAACAATTACTATTAATGCAAGCTAAGGGAGAGCAGTAAGCGCTCACCAATCATGAATTACTTATTTTTACTGTACCAACCAACTGAGATTTGTGCAAAAAAAAAAAAAAAACCAAACAAACAGAAGAACCCCAAAACAGTTCCTGCATGAACTGCTTCAACAGAAAGAACTTCCATCTGCCTGTGTGCAAAGTAAGGATTTGACCATCCCTGTCTATAGGAGTGAAAGCTCTGGGAAATGCCAGCTCTGTGTCTGTTTCCCAGAAGAGGAATTGAGACCTGGATTTTTGGAGGTGTGAAACACACAAAATGTGCTGTCTCTCAGCAGAGGTTTTGGGGCATCATAGCCATGGCCCTTTGGGTGGTTTAACACACCAGGAGGATATCAAAGGAAACTGTTTCACTCCCCAGGCACGTAGAAATATTGCTTTAGAGAGAACTGATGGAAAGAATTACCCATGCCTGAAGAGGGTGAACATTTGCATGCCAAGAATTGAAGTAGCTCTAAAAGGGGCTTTGAAGTGCAGGGGTTGTAGGAAAGGGAACAGCTCACCTGGCCAGCAGAGCCCTCACAGCGAGCCGGACCCAGGGCGCAGCGGGCTCCACGCACACTTCCCGGCCATCTCTCAGCGTAGCTCTGCCGAGAAAGGAGCAGAGGGGTTCAGGCCAGGTGTGTCCCTCACACTTCTCCTGATGGCTGGAAATTCTCTTAGCCAGTAGATGAAGAACCTGTTCGTTTTGTCTTATGTGTTTGGGGGTTTTTGTGAATGATGTCAGTACAGGTGTTTATGCTATAATCTTATCATGAGCCTAATGGATTTTCTATCTGGTTTCAGTTCTCTATCTGGCCATACTTTAGCAGATTTTTCAGGAACATAATTATCTTGAAAAGTTGGGTTTTTTTTTTAACCAAGCCTGGCTTAAATTACCAGTTCCTAGTGAGGTGGAACGGGATGCCATGCAGTGCTGCACAGAGGGTATAACTGTAAAACCATTATTTGCTTAAGAAACCATAGTGAAAGCATAAAAACCTGACTGAGCCCTTCTGTTTGGTGACTGCACTGCCCTGGTTCCTGTGACTAGTTCCAGGAGTGGTTTTAAATGAAGCTTACTGTATCTTTTGTTTTGTACCCACATGGAGTACAATCCTAGTTCCCCGCTCCTCACACAGAAAAATACTCCATGTGAAATTCTGACACAGGAAATAACTTGGGGCCTTTCAAACCTTGGCACATACAGGCCAAGTCAGAGGAAATTGTTTTAATCCATGTCAAGAGGATCAAGTTTGTATCTTTGATCGATTCTTCAATGTCTAGAGTTATTAATTGTGCTCTGTGTTGTGGGAATCTGATTCTCCCCTCTGATGTTGTTCCTAAGTAAGATGACAGAAAGAGAATTAAAATGCTCTCTGGAAGTTTGTAACACTGCCTGTGAATGAACTTATTCCTTTGGCCATAAGGCCTCATTCCTGGTACTTGGTGTCTCTGAGGCTTTGCTAGGGAACCATCCTGCCCCTCAAAGTACATGAGTAAGTAGGATGAGAAATGGTGGGTCGGTTCCTCCTGTAGGAAGCAAGGTGCTGTTTGGGAGAAGTGCTCACATGATTTCCACATGTTTGCAGAGAGGTCCTCTTTGGCTTAATCTTACATCCTGAATACTCTTGGGAGGGATGAACTTGGAATGAGTGCTTATGCACTGGCATTGGGAGCCTCCTCCATCTGTCTTCTCCAGGGCCTTACCTGTGGAACAAAACTCTGTTAACTCTAGGTACATCTTATTTGCTCCCCTGAAACAAACTGTATTCTCTTCTGCAGCCTCATTCTTGTTCCTCAGACACTCTGATTTGCAGGATGCTGAGATAAAAGTCACTGCATCTGCACAACACAGCAGCTGCATTTTCAGAGCTGTTGGTGTGCAGCTGCATTTGAATTTAAACTTGGGTTGCTACGTTTCTGTCATGATCAGCTGCTCATATTCCTTATTCTTTCTTGCAAACAGGATAATTCTTGCTCTGTCATCAACCTGCCTACTAAGAATAAAATTGCAAAAAGGATAAAATTGTCACTTGTAGAAGAATATCTATATGGACATATTTAGGGGGAAAGGCCCTGTTTTAATTCAAGCACTTATTAAAATCTAGAGACAAGCATATATTGTGGCATAAGAATAAATTCATCTGCACACAGAAGCATATTTTACCCCTGGAAACATCCACAGCATCCTCACAGGTACAAATGATCCTTTTTACTTCTGAATGACAGTTTACTGAGGATGCACTTCTCTTGCAAAAAGTCATCATGGACATAGCATATACATGCATATACTTATTAATTGCTTACATGATTTTTAAGAAATAACTTTCTTACCTTCTGACCCTGCCATTAAGACCAAGTAGAGAACCAAAGTGACAGCAACAGATTTGCCATCCATTGCTGTGCACGTTTTCTTGACAGAGGTCCTGTTCTGGTGCTGTTTCCCATCAGGTTTTATACCTGAAAGGTGCACTCCCAGCAGCCTGAGTGCTGAGAGGTGGGTTCTGCACATGCAGGTTTCCTAACACATGAGAGTGTTGCATAAGAAACCCAAACCTCTGTGCAGTCCATTCAGTGGCACTTCAAACTTCCCTACCTTTTGCTGCTGTATATTTTCAATTATTCTTTAAATTGTTGTTGTTATCCATCACTTTCTATTTGCACTTTTTCATGGGATATTTGCTTTAGCCAGCAACGCTGAGCTTGCACTTGGAAATCAACACAACATTACCAGACATCTCTCTGAGCCAAAATAAAGAGACTTTTCCCCTCCTCTGTGAATATAAAACTTCTGTTCAGCTCTTTGCATCATGCTTAAGTGCCTTGTGCAAAAAACATTTACCTGCATAATTAGAAGAAATTTTCATCCCAGTCTTGCACACTATATTTTGATATGATTCGGACACAGTTATTAGTCAGTGTTTTATGAAGACTCAACTCCTCTTGCTCTCTGAAAGGATTTTGTCTTTTTCAGTTTGGCTAAAGGGATTTAGATGCTTTATTCTGTGCTGAGAAGTCTCTCTAGTCATTAAGCAGGAAATGATGAGCTTAAAATGACTGAGGCATCATCACCAAAGTCACTTAAGCTCTTCTGAAACTTTAATCTGTCCATAACGTGAAAGGAGAAAGTATCTGGCAGTAAGGGCTGTAGTGATACTTGGTTAAAATAAACACTTAGGAAGTTGCTTGTTTTTCTTTCTAACCTCATGCATTTAGAATAATCACAGGTGCTTAAGACAGCAGATAAACACATGTCATAAGTGACTTCTAGTGACAGGGAAGAGCAGCCCAGTCCCGTGAAGGTAGACACCAAGTCAGCCACAGTGCTTCACTTAGCAGTCTCCAAGAGCACTGAAATACATTTTTGGAAGCATGAGAGTGGTTGTTATGATTCTATGGAAGGTATTCTGTGACTGCACACAGAACAGGGATGTGCTATGTAGTCATTTCTACCCTTGGAATGGCATCTCACCGACGAGCCTACGGAGGAAGGTGCAGATGCTGTGCCCAGGGTCCTACAAGTGCAGCCATTGCTGACATTTTGGACAGAAGAGCTGATGAGAAAAGTCCTTTCTCAGCTGTGGTTCAGCTCCCAGTAACCTGACTGGGATTTTGCTGGTGGCAAAGGTTATGTGTATCTGTATTACACTAAAGGTGATGCCAGTCCTTTAGGATACACCCAGATTTTTATGGCTGTGCAGATCAAGTGGTCTTTCCCAACCTCTCCCCATCCTTGGCTGATACTTGCGACATCCTTATCTCCAAATTACATCTCTGAAAGAAGATATCTTATAAAAATCCCTCAGGATTATTAACAGGAAGGCTTAGACTTGTAAGACAAGTCTGAACAAAACCTGTCTCCTTGAGAAACCTTGACTCCTTTGCATTCTGAGGTCTAGCAGGCTGTACAATGCTGTGCAGTGGGGCAGGGGCAAATGTGGGGACAGGGAGGAAAGTGTCATCAGAATAGCTGTCCTCTTGCACAAGAACTTGCCCAAACACTGCCAAAAACTCCCTTTATGTCTTGCACCATGAGCAAACATGAGCTGATTGTGCAGAATATGGAGTGGCTCCTTGTTGGAAAAGACCAAACCTAAACAAATATCAAAATATTTGCTCAACTTTCCCACTTCCCAAGTGTTTGCTGCTTGAATTTCAACATTCCTCGGTTAATTGCTCTGCTACAGGTAGATATAAAGCCATATAATAATTAGAGCTCTGTTTCTTAGGACTTCCCCTGATGTAGTCCTCCCTCCTAACTGGAATTAGGGAGGATGCTCTCAGTGACTTCCTTAATGTTTATCAGATTTCCCTGTTTCTTTAAGCTGATGAAAACCCTTGTTCATTGCCATGTTCTCAGGTGCTCTTCTGTCAGAGCATCACACTGCTATGGCCTTGTGACTTCTGTGACAACCAGTATTTGTTCATTACTGTCTGGGAATTTGATGGTCCAGACTTCTGAAAACACTGAGTCTCACAGGAAAGAGGAAGAAAGTAGATAACTGTCATAATTCCTCTAATAATCTACACTTTACAGAGGCAGCAACATGCTGTTTCAATTTGCTGGCCCCTACAACTCAGATCCCCCCCTTGCCCTTCTTGGAACCCTTTATGTAATACAAAAGGAAAGAAAATGCTTCCTCTTTTTATCAATTCTCTGTTCCAACAAGGAAAATAATAACAAACAACACTGAAGTGAAAACATTTCAACAAGCATTTATTAGATAGGCAATCATAAATATCTTCAATAAATAAATAAATAAATAAATAAATAAATATTGTTCTATAAATAAATAAAGTGGGTTTTTTTCTAGCGAAAAGATGGCATTAAAATATATGTTTATACCTTCACAGCACTCATTCACAATAAATAATATCTTGAAAATGATGACACAAAACCTGATGTACAATCATTTTGCTGTGTTAATTCTGGATCTCCCCTCCTCACCCAGTAGCCCACTGTGAGTGGCAGTGACCCAGTTACTTTGAAGTTACTTTGTCCATGCTTTTCTGGGGAGAAGTTGTTGCTGGTCTTTTCCTAAACTGCTAGCACAAAGGAAATGAGTCATTTAGTGAAAGCTCCACTGGGCATGCACTGCACTGTTCCAGCTGTGTTTAGCAAAAATTATTCCAGAATCATCCCCGTATTCCTTCACAAGCCATTTTCCCCTCCTCCTTATTGAGGCGGCAGTGGTTTCTTTCCTACGTGATGAGACCAGTTTAAAAGACTAAAAGTATCGTTGTCAACTAACTACAAACCAGGGAATCCATATTCTAAATGCTGTGACATTGTGAATGTGGGAGGCAGGAGGAGCTGAGCTGTCAGAAACTGAGTGAGTGTCTGCCTTATTTTTGCCTCGCTGGAGGAGTCAGGACATTTTTCTTCTTTGTTTTAGGACGCTGTCTCAGGTTTGGTGTTGGCCCTAGAAAGAAAGAAGATGGAAAAGGAAGCTATTAAAAATCAACCATACAACAGGTAAGACTTGCAGGTGTCAGCTGCAATCCACCACTTCGTGCTTCTGTGCCCAAGACCCCGAGAAGCTGTGATAGAACCCAAGGGACTGGTACGTGGTAACATTCCCCAAATGATTCAACAGCAGTGAATTTCCATAGTTCGATGCTCCTCTTCACAGCTGGAGCTGGATTTCCCCCCCTTTTATCTATGTGCCAGTAGTTTGAAAAACTGCTTGCTGCTTTCTGCCACTGCAAGCATGAGAAAACCAGTCAGTTAATGCTCGGATTTTCTGAGCAGTTGTGCTGCAGGTTTTCAAAACGCTTGTGCCTTAGGGGAGAGGAAGGTAACCTTCCCAGAGATGAGTGGCACAGCAAGGCTTCAATAGCTAATGCTGCAATTAAGGCTCAAAGCAATCACAGCGTTTGTCACAATTAGCGAACACAAAAGGTAATAACTGCCGGAGGAGACAGAATTTTGGAGCACTTCACACCTGTCTGTGTTTGGTAGTTCAATTAAAATACCGGTTTTCAATAAGCTGTGATTATTGAGGAGGAATGACTCACTTGTCCAGAATTGCCTTGATGATCAGCTTCACCCAGGGAGCGCTGGGCTCCAGGCACACTTCTCTGCCATCTCTCAGGGTAGCTCTGCAACAGGGAAGAAAGGAAGGGAAAAGGGCTGTTTAGTGAAACCCAAGGCAATGTCACCATTCTCTCATAATAACAGCGTTCATATAATAACAACATACACTGACATGTTCCACTTGAAGCTGCATAAACTGAGGCTGTAGCCGATAACAACATGTCTCTCATAACAACAACATTCATAACAACAATATACACTGACATGTTCCACTTGAAGCTGCATAAACTGAGGCTGTAGCCTAACATAAAAGGATCTTTTTCACTGGTTTAGTATCTTCTCATAGCTGTTTGTTGGATGCATTAAACCATCTGCAGGACTCTCCCTCTTTTCAAAACTGCTCTTTTCCCCCAGCTGGCTTTGTATTGGTGTCGGTCTTTCACTGAAGAGTTAAATCTTTCCATCTTGATTCAGAAATTGTACTGCCCAGTCCAGAGGAACTTGGTTATTTAACAGTAAAAGTTCTGAAATGCAACTGGAACAACTTGAATGCTAATGGTAGGGTTTTTTCATTGACTTGAGCAGAAGTGTGATCACTTTTTTGACCTAGCCCTTAAAAATTATGCTTTTATCTCTTGCTCAGCATGGCTCCATGCATTTTCACGAGCCAGTGGAATTCAGAGTTTTAGGAAGTCATTTATTTGCTGCCTGATGACAGCAAATTTATGTCAAAATATTGCATGTGTTCTAAAAGTAGAGCTTGGCAAAACAGCACTCAGTTCCCAACACGTAGCACATCGTCTGCAGGAGCAGGGAATGTTGCTGTTCTGCTTTCTGAGCAGCTGCTTCTGCCGGCGACTCACGCCGCTCACAGATCGAGAGCAAAATCTGCTTCCTCCTCGTTAAGTAATCGGGAGGCTTTTGCAAAACACTTACATGACTTCAACATTCTTGCAGTGAGGTCCGCTGGGGGTGAGGTTCACGTTTTGGATGAACTTGGGGTGGATGAACCTGGAATGGGTGCTTATGCACTGGCACCGGAGTTCAACGGCCGAGCGCGGCACCGCCTCACCTGGAAAACAAAAAAGGTGGAGTGGTTCACAGGAAGCACAAGATGGGGTTTTCTGCTGACAGCATCGGGAGGGCCCTTTGCTGCACTGGTAAGACAGCACAGTGCCTCTCCATCAGCATTTGGTCAGCAGAGCTTGAGGAAGGGCTCCTTTACCTTGCGTTCCAAGTGCTGAGATCAGGAGCAGGACCAGCACAGCAGCCACAGCCTTGGCAGCCATGACGCAAGAGCGTGTCTTCCTCGTGTGGCCTGGGCCTGGTTCTGTGGTGAGCTCTGGCAGATCCCGGGCTGGCGAGTGCCTGTGCTCTGGGACAGGC